ATATATATATAAATAATTAAAAATTTATTTGGTCACTTGATGTATTGCAGTATGAGGCAAAATTTTGAAGTCTAAACTACATATCTAACATCCTTTGAAATAGCCAGTACTGGTAATATTCATTCTTTCCTAAACCTACTGTCAATCTCAGTAAATGTTAATGTTCTCTGGATAGTTTCATAATAAATTTTCTTTAAAATATTGGGTGTTAGGTATTTTTACTTCTAGGTATTTAGTTTTCTATCTGGTCCACTTTACACAATCTGATCGTATAAGTTTATGTGGTTCAACTCCTCCCCACTCCCAAAATTAATAACTGAATTTCAGGGTCTATATTTTGAGGCATTGTGTAAAAGGATTCTGACTGTTAGCAGAAGGGAGTTCCCAGGTACTGCATTATTTCGAGCTGAGTACAGAATATCTAAATTTAAAAATAAAAATAAAAAGCTGCATACATTGCAAATTTTTCAGATTTTTTTTTCCCCAAAGCAAATGCAGGTTTGAGGGGTGAGAAGAATTATTTCCCCAGGATTTTGATCTGACACAGCTAACCTCATATGTGTAGGTCTGAAATTTTATTGCCTTCAAAGGAACAGCCTGTTAGGTTAAGTATGAAATGAGGGGCTTGCTGAATTAAGACCTGCTCCATATTTTTCTTATGTTCCAGGACCTTTCTGAAAATATCATAGCTCTACTGAAGAAATGCCTTACATTCCAACCTTCTAAGAGGCAAGTATTCATTCCAAACACCTAATAAACTCTGCTGGCATACTGTGAAAATAAAAGACCTGTTGCTGAGCCCTTTTTGGAATACTAACGATTTGTGCTATCTATAGGAAATTCTTGGTTTTGTTGCTTTTCAGTGTTTAAAGGAAAAAAATCTGGGAAGGGGCAGAAATAAAACATGCAAAACCTTGAGACTGAATCTCAGTATTCTGGGGGAAAACTGTACATTAAATGAAGATGAGATCTGAACTTGGGCTGTAAACAGATTGCATGGTGTGTTATGCATCATAACCTGAATGGAATTGTTAGATATTTTTTTTGCTATTAAAATTTCTGAAATACAGTATAATTTAAAGAACTTGATAATATTTATTACAGGGACATTTCTTACTGAAATGTAACATTTTTGGAAGCACTTTACTCTTAGCGTTTTATTTTCTTTTCTTGATTCAAGGCCAACTCCAGAGGAACTGCTGCATGACAGTTTGTTCGGTGAAGTATCCTCAGTGTATCCTCCCTTCCACAAGCCTGCTGGTCTGTTCTCATCTTCTCCAAGGTGTGCTAATTTAACACTTCCTGAAGACATAAGTCAACTATGTAAAGGTAAAGGCAGGTAGTGGGATAAATGTCATTGGAGGGGGAAGGAAAATAAAATGTTTTTGCATTTGCTTTGAATACTTTGAAGATAAACTATTAAATGTTGTAATACTGCATTCTTGGAATAAGTTGTTTAATGGGAAGAGATAATGGACAAGCATATTTTGAGGAATGTGTACAAGTCAAAGGAGGGCATCTTCATTTTGTGCTTCAGCCTCAGGAAATAAATGGTTATCATTAGTTTTCAAGTCCAGCTTGGAATATCAGTATCATCTTTTGCCTTTAGAATTTGGACATGTGCATATACAAGGTAGGCTTTTTTCACTGAATTATGTTGTGAAGTGGTAGCTGGATTCTGCTGGATCATAGCATGAAATTATTTTTGAGAGTATTGGAAAACTAAATCCTTGTGAAAGAGGTCACATTCTAGAATAAAAAATTACATTTCTGAGTTTATAACTATAGTATGGTGAAAGTGTGACCACTCTTAAGTCCTCATTAACTTTTTATGATAAACTCAGATTTCTACATGTTTAGAAAATCTCATTATGCATTTTTGGAGAGTAAGATTTTATACCTTGTTCATATGGGTATGGTATGTGAAGGGAAGATAGATAATAACTACTCAGTATGAATCACTGGTTTCTTATTTTTGCTCTTAGTGTGCTGTGTGAAAAAAAAATAGTGTGAGGTCTTTGGTTGGTGTATTTTGGTTGTTTTTTTTAAAGACACACAGGAAGCAAAAGTCTACACTTAAACGTATTAATCTGGTTCTGTTTTCTGGCATCAAGGCAAACTGCAGAAATATTTGCTTTTTTCTGACTTCTGCTCATCTCCTCTTTCCTTAGATCTTCCTAAAGGGCACTTACAAGGGGAGGATCACTTCCCCTCTAACTTCAAAGTAAAGTCTGGGACCTTTCAGGCATAATATTTTTTTTTCAACAATATGTGTTCAGAGTGATAGGAAGAAAAGCAAGCTGCCTAAAAAGCTGTAACTCATTTTTCTGTGGTTTCTCCTAATAGATGACGATAGTGATTACCTAGCAGAAAGGTCAATTGAAGAGGTTTATTATCTCTGGTGTCTGGCTGGAGGAGACTTGGAGAAAGAACTTGTCAACAAGGAAATCATTCGATCAAAGCCACCTGTCTGCACACTTCCCAAGTAAGAAGGAGAGGCACTTTAAGGGAAAGGAGGATGGATGGAGAAGGCCAGTAATTCCAAGATAACGTTTTGGTTTGGTTTTTAGTTTCAAGACCTGTATGTGTGGAAAAATGTTCAAAATAGCTTTCATGAACAGCAGGAAATCATGTCACTTGCTCTCTTACCCAGTTTAAGGTATTGTTTGAATGCCTTATATCTCTTGCTTACCTGCACTTCATACTGCTTTCTGAAATCTGAAGAAATGTAGGTGAAGTGCAAAATACTGAACTGAAAGTCCTTAATTTTAGCACACTTTCCAACAGCATTAAGTTTCAGTAAAAATGTCTCACTGTGCTTCAACAGTTTATTTGTAATTGTAATTTAATTTACTACATTCTGTAGCAAATTCTCAAATTCTGAATTTCCTTTTGCAGAGCAGCAGTGCTGAATGGTCAAGCCAGTTATTCAGCAGATCAGCTGCTTACTGTTTTCTTTAAAAGGTTATTTTTATGAGTTATAATTCTGTAACAACATTGTAGTCATTACTACTTTTATCTTACTGCTGCACACATTGCAATTTTAGGTAGTATATTCAAGTTGTAATCCTTCAGTCTGATCTTAATAAGCATGATTATGTGTTCATGTACATCAATTGGCTGGTTCTGGGTTTTAAAAACACATGAAGTCAGTGTACAGCCAAAATGCAGTATCTTGAAGAAAAGGGGGAGCTAGATTTTACGTGATATTTTGATGGCAAAATTAGTGTGAGATTTTGAGGGATTGCCTATTTCTGTACCCAGAGGTGAGTGCATGTGCTTTTGAATTATAAGGAGAAAAATATTTTTTGTCATACTATCTGTCTTGAAGATAAGGTCTTAATTTAAAAAATGCAATCTAACTCCATCTTTCAAGTGACACTGAGAATGTTAGTTTAATTTTTGGAAATCTATTTCATGTTATCTGCTTTAAAAATATCACCAAATAGACAATTTGTGTATACTCTTTCTTGGTTTCATTTGTATCCTTAGTGAACTGCAACAGAAAAGGTCTGGGTCAGACTTTTGCTTGCTTTTTTGTCGTGGTGGGAAATGGCTTTCATATGATGATGTTTTACTTTTGTTTTTCACAATAAGCTGCAGTCCTGGTCTGTGCCAGGTCAAGGAATAAAAGGGAATGTTAATCGCATATCTCACTGCTCTTCCTTCATGTGCAACCCAAAGTTATAGAAAACTTGAAATGTGCCTTTTTACAGCAAAAACTGTTTGAAAACTTGAGGTGATTGGACATTCCCTTGATGGCATGTTTCATGCCATGCAGAGTCAATACAATATGCTTCTAAGAGTTAATACTTTGTTTTAAAGAGGAAATGATTGATGTAAGCCTTTTCTGTTTTTTTTCTAACTCAAGTCTCATGTTATGAAATGACCTGATTTTTTTTCTTCTTTTTGAAGCTTTTTATTAGAAGATGGTGAGAGCTTTGGGCAAGGACGAGATAGAAGTTCCCTCCTAGATGACACAACTGTGACTTTGTCTCTGTGCCAGCTCCGAAATGTGAGAAGAATAATGTGCACTTGTTCTTGTGTCTTCACTGCAGAAACATTGGTGTAAAGGGAATACGAAACTGCAATTTCTACTGCTGTTCCCACAAATTACAGTGTTACTGATTCCAAGAGAACACTTCTTGGCACATGAGTCATGTTCTGATTTATTCTATTAATTGCTTTGTCTGCAAAAGCTTACTAAATTTCTTTTATCTTCTGACACTCCCTCCCCTTCCTGTCACTCTCTTTCTTTGCTTTTGTTCCCTGCTTTATTCTGCTGTAGCCCAAATAGTGCTGTCATACCTTGATACTGTCCATGATTGCTAAACTAATTCTACAATGAGTGTCTTCCTGCATTCTTTAGTTCTTGTCTGTAGGTGGCTCACAATATTCAAAAGAAAGATCAACTCAATTGAGTTGCAGCTCCTTAAAGGCTTTATACTTAAAGTTGGATACTTAATTCCCAATAGTTAATTGCTGGTCTTTGGAATATTTAGCTAGTAAACAACTAGTTCAAAAAATCACTTCAAAGCATTCTGCCAAAATACAGTAATGCAGTTTTCTTCTGTCTTCAGTGGAAAATTCAACATATGATAACTCATAATTTTGACCAATGTAGTGATCAGTTACAAGATTTACTTCATATATCACTGAAATGCTTTAGTTATTTACATGTCTTTACACATGTAAAGGTTTATTGCTGTAGAATTAGAAATTTATGCTGCACTGTTTGCAGCTTGCTTTTTATAGTAGCAAATGCAATTCTGTCACAGTCTTTATAAAAAACCTTTCCATATGATTACAGGGGTTGGTAAAGAAAGGAAGGTAACTCCTGATTCTTGGTCTCTAGCACCATTTCCTTAATTTTGGGGTCAGTGTGGCAAATACTGTGTAAACATTTCTTCAGTAGAACTTTGCATGACTTCACACAAATGCATGAAAATATGCCAAAGAACCGGGTTATTTTGTTTGATTGGTTGATGTGATTTGGGAAGCGGGAGGAACAGCAACAGCTGTTTAAAAGGTAATACACACTGAAGCTCCTACTGTTGTTCCTACAAAATGGCAGCTTTGAAGACTTTTTAAAAAACTTTTTAATCTGTAATTTTGGATATTGCTGCCTACATCTATAAGTACAGCAGCAAAAAAGTATATACTGAAGATTAATTCTGGGGAAGATACAAGCCTGAACCTTGCAGTGTTAGCTGAAATAAATTCTAAATTCTAAATTTATGCAATGCTTCAAACACTTTTCATAGAGCAGAGCATGATGCTTATAATCAAAAGAGGATCAGTACTGAATGAACTGAGAACAAACTGTTCTGTCGATCCCAGGAGGAGCAGGCTGTGTGCCGTATGCCTTCAGGTTTGGAATTGAACTGCAAAACAGAGCACTACAGGGAGGATGGTACTAAACATTAATCACAATGTACCAAAGACGTCTGAAAACTTCAGGCAAAAGTCCGGGCATGGTAGTGTGTCACCTTTCCAGAGAGCGTTTCTATTTCTGTGCAGCTTTCAGATGCTGCTACTAAAAGGAAGTCAAATTTGCATAACTCTCATGCTGATTAAAAACATGAAACCAAGTTGTACATTTGCTTTGCAGCTACTTGGATAGGAAGTCCATGTACAAAAAATGAGGAAAAGAACTATGTAATGCTGTTTAACTATTAATCCATGGCACATAGAAACTATTTTTTGTGTAGAAGTATGTTTATGAATGAGTGTTATCTTCAGGCAGAAGAACTTCCATCAACTCACAGAGTCTGTATTAGCAAAAGTTTTTAGTGTTAAAAGCTGTGTGTTTCTTTGCTGATGGAGGACTAAGCTAATGCTTAAGTCTCAAGGCAAGCTACTAAATTTGGCAAATGAATTGCTAATTAGTAGTTTTTGTATTCCACTAAATATTTCCACTTGAATTCTGAGTAACGTTCTGATAAGACATTATTTTTATTCTTTATTTCAGAGACTGAAAGATGTTGGTGGGGAAGCATTTTATCCATTGCTTGAAGATGAGTAAGTGTGTGTTTAAGTTTGCACATATATAGAGGACTGAGTTTTGAGTTATTAGCTTTATTTGAGCGGCACACTGCACAGCTCGACGCAACTGTCTTCCAAAAACAAACCTAGCACGTCCTTATTTGGCTCTTTTATGTTAATGAGAGCTGATAAGCACTCTGCACTGGTGGACTTAGGGCCCTGGTACAGAGAATCTTAACCTGTTTCTGTTCTGGAAATCAACTGCTTGTACTGCATTACTTGTTTCTCACTCAGATATGCATCACAGGATATTAATTTTTTTCACAATTATTTGTATTTCTTGCTATTCACTACTACCCTCCTAACTTTTTTGCAGCCAGTCAACTTTACCTCATTCAAATAGTAGTAATGAGCTGTCTGCAGCTGCGAGTCTTCCTCTGATCATCCGGGAGAGGGACACAGAGTACCAGCTAAATAGAATTGTCCTGTTTGACAGACTGTTGAAGGTATGGAATCTTTCTGGTGTTGGATAATTGGATTTGGTCTGTTAAATAGAGGATGTTTAAAGGACCAAGTAATTGAAAAAGGAAGCAGAGGTACAAGAGACCACAGTGGGAAAGGGAGAAGAAAATCCTACAGAAGCATAAGAAGATTGAAAACAAAAATATGAGAAATAGATCTTTATAGTAGTGACGAATATAAAAGCAGATTTTAAAGTATGGACATGAAAATAGAGCTGCTGCTGATACTTGTTATTTACTGAAGAAAATAATTCTGCAACCTTTATTTCATATCATACTACTCTATTGTAGAAATGTTACAGGCATATTTATACCTATATTTTCAAACAGTAAGGTACTTGAAAACAATGCCAGTCTTTCCTGTAGCAGTGCCATGTTAGAAATAAAGGTTTTTATATGGAAGGAGGGAAATACTAATCCCTAATTTACATATATGCAAAGATGGATTCCTGCTTAAGAATAAGAGAGCTGATGTGCATCAAGTGCAGTAACTAGGAAGGTATAAACTACAAATGTTTAATAAAGCAAAGTTCGATGCGTAGTATGAAAATAAACATATAATGAAGAATTAACTTTAGTAAGAATTTGGATTAGTAAATTTATCTATCCAGTCTATACCAAAGCACATTAATGCATTTTTTAGAAGGAGTGGGTATTTTACCATCAAGCGTTAGTCCTCCACCCAGGCCTTCCAGTTAGGAATCAAATTTGCTTGTTGTAAAACCTGCGTTCAGTGTTAGGTTGACAGCATTTGCCCTTTGCAGGAAAGACCATCACAGGATTGGGATTTGATTTGTTTCAGTTACATGGTAATATTTTTTGCTGTTAATTTCTTCCCTTTGAAGGCCTACCCATATAAGAAAAACCAAATTTGGAAAGAAGCCAGAGTTGACATCCCTCCTCTTCTGAGAGGCGTAACCTGGGCTGCCCTGTTGGGTGTTGAGGTAAGGGTAATGGGAGGGCATTTGCAGAAGTTCCAGTACTGACTGGGGAGAATGGGATTGGAGTGGGATTTAACAAGGAAACTGGAATGGACTGGAATATTTGGTAGGTAGAATTACTGGAATTTCAACAAAATGAGTCATGAAACGGTGTGAACTAAGACAATGTTCAGACAAACTTGCTTCTTTAATAATATTCAATTTCTGAGAATGTATATAAACTTGACTGCCTTTAATTTTGGTTATGGGACTGAAAAATACTACCCATACTGCCTATTTTTGTTAAATTGTTTAAATAGAATTGGTAGTTAACAGGTTTTTTGTTTGATGAGTATTTTTGTCAAATGAAGTTAGAATCTTTCTGCTCCAGTCAGCAATAGTTGAGCAAAACAGGATGAAACATATCAAATTGTTTTTCTCACCTCTCAATCAATGCACTTCCTTTGAAGACTGGAGAATAAATAAATTAAATGTAACCTTTTTTAACAAATGGCTAGAAAGGTATTTCCCAGAAATGAGGACTCCTCACAAAGGCTGCTTGACTATCCAGCTTTTGCATCTACTGTGCTTGCAATGTGCGGTAGTGCAGCAAAGAGGTTCTTAAAGATAACACATGCCAGGTTATTTAGGATACTTAGCCTGGGATGTGATCTGCTGAGTGCTGTATAATACAACTAAAAAAGCCCCCAACAGCTGTAAAGGCAAAGAACAAGTGCTGGTCAGCATTTCAGTCTGAGTTGTGAGAGATGAGTCAGTCTCAAGCTATGTCAACTTACCATCTTTACAATGCAGGTAGTGTTTCCCTGTCCCGTAATACTAAGATGGACTTGTTAGCATGCCTGTCATGGGATTCATGCAAGGACAGGCTACTTAAGAGTAGTGTATATTAGTAATATCAATATTGGTTATCAGGCAGCTGGTCTCACTGCCTTTACAGAGATGATGCCGAAAGCCACTTGCCAGTGGCTGAGGTAAGCACAGAATTTAAACTGAGATCAACTTTTAACTTGAAAATGGAAAACTGCATCAAGTACATAATTTTCTGAAATATAACAGAACAAAGATGGTTTTGTTAAAATTCAACTGTCAGAATTTTTTCTACTTTGGGAAATATTTTCAGGAAAAAACATTACTAACAAAAGCACTAAACAAAAACAGTCAACTTCTATATATCAGTGTGAACACTGTAATATGCATCTATGTTAGTAAGGACCTTCTAAATTCAAGTATTCTTCTTCCACATTTAGGGTGCCATAGAAGCAAAATATGATGCCATTGATAAAGACACACCGATTCCTACAGACAGACAAGTAAGATTTCTGGTGTTATCAAATGTTACTTTAAGTAATGCAAAGATCTCATCTGCCACTCCCAGTCATTTGCCTATTCAGCAGATGTGACTGATAATACTAAAAGGGTTACCCCTATCCTCTAACCTTGTTCATGCTGTAGCAGGAATCTTAAAAGATTCTTTTTTTACTTCTAGGAATCACACAGAATCACAGAACGTTAGGG